CTCAAAACTTCCAGTTTGTCATTTTCTTTCCCTTTTCCCAGAAAGGAGATGCTCCACTACACCAAAAAGCTGAAGCATCAATTCTATTTAGCTGATTTAACTTTTTTGGGGAGGACTATTTAGTTTTTGTTTTGTTTGAACTCAACAACAAGAACAGTAGAAAATCACAGGTTACTGATTGAAAAAAAAAAGTTTCTTTGTCATCAGTGCAGATTTCAGACTTCACTAGTAAACAGTATTTTGCTTCCTGGTCACCCAATTCACCTGACGTTCTCTCAGCTCAACACGTTCTACTCTCAGCAGTATCTCCTTTTCAGTCTCCTTTTCAAATTCTCTCCATGCCTTCTCAGTATCATGCAATTCTATCTCCAGTTCTTTTATGTTCTGTTTTTCCTTATCACAGTATTTCTCCTTGTCCCTCAGAGATCTTTTAGACATTTCTACTTTCTTGATTTGGTAAGAAGTATTTTCCTTTGCTTTTATATAGAGGGCTTTCTGCTGAATCAAGGATGCCCGAAGAGTCCTGAAAGAACAAAAAATAAAGCAACACTTCCAAACAAACATGCAAATCAGCCACCAATTGTCAGCTGCAAGGTTACATACCCACAGGTATGTAAAACATAAGAAAGGCAGTCATGTGAAATATACTCATGAGCACAGGTATTATTTTTAAACATCCACTGAAAATAAAAGCTTAATAAACGCAGCATAAAATTCTGAAATCTCACAACAAACACGTAATTAAACTACTGAAAATGTTGATAATGTTGGGGGGAAAAAATAATTTAAAAAAAAAAAAAATCACTGTTTAGTTATTACTCAATTAAAATGCTGCAACCCAACTTCCATAGCAGTAGGAGCTATCACCCTACTCACTTCAAAATAAAATGCCCACCTGCCAAGCAATTCCCAGTGGCAACTATTCTGAAACTCAACTATCAGAGAACTTGACTGAAAAACCTACTTCATTTCTCTTTCTATGTGTTGTTGGTCTCTGTTCAGTACACCAAGCACCTTTTTCTTTGCTCTAAATGCATCTTCTGCTGCAGAAAGGGAGTCTTTCTTGATCCTAGCCTCCATATTCTTTTCATCCAAACTCTCTTTCAGAGATTCAATGCTTTTTTCATTGTGATAGAGTTGGAAAAGTTGAAGCTGTATCCTCTTTGCATTCAGTTCTCTGACAAGCATCTGGTAATGCTCTGCCTGCCAACATTAACATTTCATTTTTAGCTTAAGAAAGGATTTTTAAATCACAGTCAGTCTAATCTGAAGTCCGAAGTGATGTAGGCTGATGTACCAGTAACACGCACTATCAAAACTCAGATATTTAAGTCAACCCTTCCGTAATAATACTGGCTACTCTACTCCTCAATTTATTTAGTCTCTATATTAATATATTTAAAATAACTTAGAGATGTGTATTTTACAGTATACTGAAAAAATTTTAGATGAAAAAATGGTATTTTTTTTTCCTAAAAACTAAGTTCACAGAAGACGCAAAAACACACACACAAAAGTAGTAAATTTGAGTTACCTCTTCTTTCTCTATCTTTGCTTGCTTTCGTTCTGCTGCAATATTTTTTTTCTTGTTATAATTGAAGTGTGCATCCTCTTCCGCTTGCTGCATTTTTTTCTTTTTTTTTTCATATTCCTCAGCATATTGCCATGAGTTACTGATTTGTTCAAAAAGTTGAGTTCTTTCTTTTGGCTTCTTCATTGCAATTGACTCTACTGTTCCCTAACACAAAATTGCAAAAAAAAAAAAAAAAATGAACCACTGCAGATTACATTGTAGAATGATAAATTTCATTTCTAAGAGCACATAATACAGATTTATCTCCTGATATTTTAATGATTAGCATTACTGAAAACATATATAGATTCCAAGGCAAAGACTATAATCTAGCCAACTAAGCAAATTACATTATTAATAATTTTATAATATCAAATACTGCTTAAGAAATACGCATTCAAATTAAATCTACTTAAACAAAGGAGTGAGCAGTTATCAGAAAAACAAAATTCTATCTCATTGGCCTCTTTAAAAGAACTGAAAGACATTTGGAATGAAAAAATGTTCTAAAACAGCTACTTCAGAAGAGTAATTGCTCAAGTCAGTGTATTTGAAGATTGTACAACTCTCAAAGCCAATGGGCTCACAAGCTTTGTCCATACATTAGCTTTCAAATCTCCACTGACCTGAAGCAATTATCATTTTCAGAAAACTGTATTCAATACATTTTCTGATTTCAATCCGCTGTTATGCTGGGCAAACACCCTCAAATAGAAATCAAAATGACAACAAGAATGCATGCCCAGGTTTTCTATAGAAGATAAATAGTAGTACTTCCTTGGGAATGTTACAATCACGGTTCAGTAAAACATAAGGAAGGCAATCATGTGAAATATACTCATGAGCACATAAGTTTGTGTGTCATAAGCACACGACATTCATGACTCGTATCATTAAATACTTTTGAAGTAATAACTCAATAGGATTTTCAATTCCTAAAAGATAGTCCTACAAAGTTTTATATCTCTTGATTAACATTATATGATGCAAATCTTTTTATAACATTTCTAGAAATTAACACTGCAAACTTTTAAAAGTAAAGATCCACATCTTCTATTTTGAAGAAACATTCTTCCAAATTAGCCTCTTTCTTCCTAATATAATTCTCTACACACAAGGTCTATTGTTCCCATTTCAAAGACTTAAAATTCTTTGATAAGGCCAAGATAAAGTTTATTGGCTTGACAGCACCTTGAAACTAGCTTGAATATTGAATAGATAACTGTTACAGATATCAAATAATGCTGGAAACTTATTTTCTTTATGAAGTACCCTAAGTGCTCACCTGAAAAATAAGACAATTCCTAGCTTTGACAAGTATGCCTATTTTTTCAAGCTCAGATATGTAAGCGGACCGGGTAATAGACTTATCATTGAAAATATATTCTGAACAACCATCTAAAGAAGGAAAGAAAAAAACAATCGTGACAAAAAGGCTACAACAAAAAATACATTGGTAAAATTATTCCACATTTTCTTCCTGAGCAACTTCCTCAAAGAAAATGGACTTCAACTATTCTCTTAAACCTTGGTTAATTTTTAACATTACCCTTAGTATATGTTTTCTGCAATTTTTAGACTTGGTATCAAGATGCTGCTGATGGACTGTAAGAAGTATTTGAAATTCAAAGTCAACTACTCTTGGTCTTCATTTTTTAGGTATCAGACCACAGAATGTACATCCAAAAGAACCTGCCACCTACCACGGATAACTCTTGAAAATGTTTTTTCTTCCCCATCTTCTTCACAATATACTATCTTTACACTTGCTGTAGAAGAAACTGGTTTGCCAACATGTGCTCCATGAATTAGTTCTCGAACACTTTTAACTCGCAAATTAGATATCTTTTCACACAGCACAAAACTAACAGCATCCATTATGTTAGATTTTCCTAGAAACAAACAAACAAGTCAATGCTCTGACACAGAAGAAATTGAAGGAGGGAAATGATTACCAATTAATTAAAAATACAAATGCAGACACAAAAGTCTTCAATAATTCTAATTCTGTATTGAGTTGAGGAAAACATATTGCGTACAATGAAGAAATACATTTCTGAAATCTATAATAGAGAAATAAATAATAGAGAGATCAACTGATAATTCAGTATCTTCCATTAGAGAAGCAATGGCAGTTCAGGACTTTCCAGAAGTTTGTGCAGCAAACATAAAGAACAGAAACAAAATGAAAGCAGCAGTTGGAAAAAAGAGAGTAAAAGAAGTGATGAGAGAGAAGGACAAAGTACACTCAATGTCACAGCCCAAGCCAACCAAGTTGAGAAGTACTGCAGAAGGGAACAGAGTGAAATACCATCCCCTAAAAATCAGTATTTTAACACACGCATTTAGTTAATACTTCTGACATTTTTTCACATTATTTTTATGGATCATACTAGAAACAACATATGTGTTCCCTCTACTGGTTCTGCTCTAACAGTGAAACTATGTCTGAGGCTGTTTGGTGGTGCTCCTGCTATTTTTCTAAGCATGTATAAGGGAAAGCATTCAAAATATTACACAACTTGACCCAAACAGCTTTCCTTCAATTTCTTTTCTTAATGTCATTTATTTTTCCTCATCAAATCTAGACCAAATCTCTCCTATTCACTCCCTGCCTCTAAAGAAGCCTGCTACCTTGAAGTCTGTCTTTGTCACGTGGCCGACTTTCACCCTGTTTCCCACAATGCAAATAGTACAAGTGAAAAGACATTACTAATATTGTTGCCCTTTGTTATTCCACCTTTCAGCAGAAACCAAAAGATGATCACCGACATGATAAAACACTCTCATGACAAAAAAAGCCCACAGGTCCCTGCAAAGAGGCCCACATAAGTCTACATCCCCTATGCAAAAATCAAGCAATTCTGCTCCTCAGGGGACAAGCTGCTGCCATTCCAGCCCATTCGGTGCCAGCAGTGGTAGCCCTATTACACACCTGGATGCACTTGCTGTTATGGCTTTTTTCCTCATCAGGCTTGAAGAGACCTGACAAAGAGCCCAGAACTAAGACTGAGAAAAAGCCTGGGAAAGCAGGACAAGGGCAAACAGATACCTCCATCTTGGCAACACTGGAGGACACGTATGGCCACCAAATGCCCCTGACCCCTTCCCAGCCTCCTACCTGATCCATTGGGCCCGATTATGCAGTTGAACCTCATGAAGGGGCCGATCAGCTGCTCCCCACGCCAGGACTTGAAGTCCTTCACCATCAGCAGCTTCAAATAGCCCATACGTGAGGCTGTGGGTACGGAAGCCATTTCCCATTCGAACTTCAGCCTCACACAAAAAAATTCAAACCACCGAGTATTTTTTTTTTTTAACGGTTTGTCTTCTGGGAGGGGGCGGAGGAGAAAAGAAAGCTCTCAGTTACGCCGCACAACCGCCCGGCCCAACCTTTCCCCTCAGCAGCCGACGCACAACGCCGCCTCCCGCCTCGTGCTCGCGGCCGCGCGGCCTCACCTGATTGGCCAGCGAGCGCCGAGGGGGGGGAGGGAGCGGGAGCTCGTCCCCATGGCGACCCGGTGTGTTGTGCCTTAGTGGAGATTATCGCTGCTCGCGCTTCTCGCCGGCGCTATGAGCGGGCTGAGCGCGCGGCGGGACTTGCAGGAGGCGGCTGCTCTGGAGCGGCGGCGGCAGCGCGAGCTGCAGCGGCAGGGCCGTATCTTTAACGCGCGAGTTCGGACCATCGGGGTGAGGGCGCGGATGAAGTCTGCTCGCGGGTCGGGGCGCGTCTGAGTCTGGCTCCGGGGATGGGAGGGACAGCGAACTTCCCGAGGCTCTCTGTGGAGGGCTGACACACTTTGCGAAGGTTGCTGGTGGGAGTGAGGTGCGGTTTTCTCTAGCTGCACTCCAGTGGGCTTTGTCTTCAGTCTGACTCTCAGGAAATCAAGTGGTAGTTATCTAAATAGCTATGAAGGGTCCCTACGGGGAGTTACGGTAGTTAATTTTCCCTTAATGCGCCCAAACTTTCATGTTAAGATCCTGGATGTGTGCATGGGGGGGAAAGTGTTGCGAAATAAACTTAAACTTTGCTGCTGAGTTGCTCTTGAGGGCAATAACCAGCAATTTTGATTGCAATAAATAGCCTAGAATCAAAATTAGAAGCGGTGGAAACAAGCCCAGTCTGGAAACAAGCCCACAGCTTCATTGTGCAGGTAGGGTTGCAGCAGATGACGGTCTGAGCTAAGTAATCTCAGGTAATGAAGCATCTCGTATGGCAGCAGGAGGATATGTTTAGCTGGTCTGTGGCAGCCCCTCGGAATTGCTCTCGTGACCTTTGTGCAGCAGTCAGTGACGTGGTAAAGTAACAGGCTGGTACAGCATCCTGAGGCATGGTAGCCAATGGTACAGTTAAATGATAGGAGTTAGTAATGTGTTTTAACAAAGTTGGGTGGGCACAGTAAGATAGTTCAACTTTCTTTGCCAGGAAGCACAGTTTCTCTGTAAGGTGGCTTTTCTCGAGCCTTAAAAATGAAATGTAAAATGCCCCTTCTCACTTAAGGAAGATCGTTGGACCTCAGGGTACTTTACTGAGCAATACTGATTTATACCGTCTGGAGATCTTACCCAAATGCTGTTGTAGAACTACCTCTGGACAGGTTTTGATAGATCCATTTACACAGGACAAACATCTAAACTGAAAGTGAGTCCATTGAAAGAATTCTGTAAATATTTTGATGAACATCATTTAATAATACCGTATTCATTGGCTGAGCAAGAAGTGCTTACAGAAGGGACTATTCTTGTGGTTTGAAATTAAGCCGAGTCCAAAACAGGAGTCAACAAAGCTATACAGGTATAGAGTATATATCTATTTCCAATGGGGTTTTAGATTCTTTGTTTTCTCATTCTCTCACTAATTTAGCAGAGTGATTGTCTGTGACTATTCAAAAATGAAGGCAATATTTGACAGCTTCAAAACTATTTGAACCACGGATTGAGAAGTTTTTTAAATGGGATAAAATGTTGTCAGGAAAGCAGAATGGGAACTAAGATTTTTTTTTCCTTGATTATTACTAGTTACTTTGGCTTCTTAGATATTTAGTTATCTAAGAAATGGGAAAACATGGTGCATCTCATTACAGATTTAAGAATTTATCCTCGATAATTCAGTACTTTTCTGAAAGAGTTCAGATGAGCAGTTCTAATGAAAAATGTTGAAAGACTTTCCATTTACATAGGAATTGTTACACATAACTACCAATTAGAAGTCAACTGCTTCAAACTTTTTATAGTAAAGAATTTATAATTTAAATCCCATTTGCGTATATCAGCCTTAAATTTGCTAATGATCAGCTAGATTAAACATGGTTCTAGAACGAGCAAGTTAAATCTATAGTTAACATGACTAGGAATCATGCTTTTAGGGATATGTTCTCATCAGGTGAAAACTGTTTGAATGGGATAGAGCTGCTAATCCAACTCTGATCGTACTACCCAGTATACTGTCTTACTTGTATTATTCCCAATAATTGTAGTTTTCATGGAAATCAATAGATATTACTTTTGGAGCAATCTACATACTAATAGTGTTGAGTTGAATTTCTCTCAACAGTGTTTCCCATAGTTATGTGAATGTGATTTCTCAAGTGGGACCTCCTAAATGAGTGGATATGTAATGCTCCTTACGCTATTGGATTTTTTTGTTTTGGGGGGGAGAGGAAGGAGTGAGGGGCAGGAGCACCGTTATACTGCAGGATACTTCATGGTTTCACCCTTGCTTACAGTTAACAAATTTACCTCTTTGCCTAACGGGGGAATTCACATTAACAATCTGTCTGGAAAAGTTTATTTTGGAGGGCCCTCTGCTTTCTTCCCTGGTGAGAAAGAACACAGCCTAAAGTCTGTATTTTACAATGGTTTGCTTCCCCAGAGTGGGTTGGCCTTTTTGAATGCAGTGAGAATTGTATGTATGACAGAGGTAAATGCTCCATAGCTGTTGTGCTTCTCATCCTCTGGTGTACATGTTTATAAGTGTGAGGGGCATCAGGGAGATAGTTACCCATCATCTGAGTTAAAGGAAAAAAAAAAAAAAAAAAACCAACCAACCAGAGTAGGAATTGGAAGAAGAGGTCAGAAAAGCACAGAAAAGCACAGGAGGCATACAGAAGGAAAAAAAATGATTAAAGTTAAAAGTGAAGCAAATGGTCGACTTCCATCTCTTTGATTGTTACAGAAATAAGGCAAAATATTTATAGATCACCGTTCTTGGAGGTGTTTGAGGGACGTGAAGATGTGGCACTGAGGGGCATGTGTGGTAGGTGGACAGTTGGAATTGATAATCTTAGAGGTCTTTTCCAATCTTAGTGACTCTATGATTCTAATAGGCAAAGAATATTAAAATACTTTATCAGGCCCTTAAAGAATTGTCAGTGTTTTTTTAAGTATTACAAAGACATTCAGTGACAGCCAGTAACAGTTGGTATGCTGTTGTTTTTACCTGTTTATTTGTTTGTTTTGATAGGTTGATAAGGATGCATTGGATGCCCAGGTCAAGGATAGGAAAATTCAAGAAGCAGCTGAAAAAGCACGAAATGAAGAACTTGGTATATTCATAGATAGTCTCATGTTTGTATGAAGTTAAATGTAAATAGATTTGCCATGTATTTCATTCCTTCTTTTTCTTTTCATACGCGTCCAGCCTACTAGTTTTGTTTTTATTGCCCTATTTTAATGTTTTAATAAAAAATATTTTAAAAATAACTGCTTTGTTACTTGTATATATTAACTATATTATATATTTTTATATATGGCCAAAGATGATTCATTTTCACTCAGTGCAGCCCAGCAAACCAAAAGGTTGGACATCCATGTATTTTGAACAGCTGTAATTTTCAAATAAAGTTCATTTCCTTGAATATCAACTCTGTATATCTATATATTTATAGATGCATGTGCAATTAGGCTTTGTCTAAATTCAACTTACAAACTGAATCCTTTGTGTATTCCTATTTATGTTTATACATTTGCATTGGTAGAATATGTGTTTCCCTTGTTATCTGAGGTAGGGTCTCAGGGATTCGTACTGTCATGAGTAAACTGATGTGTATGTCTGAATAGATTTTGTTCTTCAGTATTTTCTTTTAATAGATCTTGATAAATAGCACTGTTAGAGACCTGAAGACATAGGATGATTTAGAAAAATAATAATTCTTTTTCAGGCAGAAGTGGCAAACTTATTTTACTGCTGTCTTGTAAAATAAGTTTATGTTCTTTCTGGCTGTTCTTATACAGAATCAGTAGATAGAATATTTTACAGATTTCTGTTGCTAAAATCATAGAATGGCCTAGGTTGGAAGGGTATCATCCAGTCCAACCCCCTTGCCAAGAGCAAGGACATCATTTACAAGATCACACTGCCCAAACTCCTGTCCAGGCTTACTCTGAACACTTGAAATGGTAGGATATCCATAACTTCTCTGGCCAACATGTTCCACTGTCTCACCACTCATTATAAAAAAAAAAATTCTTCCTTATACTCAATCAATTTACCTTCTTTAACTTTAAAATCATTGCCCATTGTTCTGTCACTAGAGACCTTAGTAAAAAGTCTATTTCTTGTTAGCCTCTTTTATATATTGAAAGGTTGCAATAAGGTCTTCCAGCAGCCTTTTCTCTCCAGTCTAAACAAGCACAGTTCCCTCAGCCTTTGCTCATAGGAGAGGTACTCCAGCCATCTTTTATTGGGCACTCATCTGGACTCATTTCAACAGCTGCTTGTGCTGGGGGCCCCAGAGTTACACAAGACCCCACCCTTTACTGTGAACGGAGGAGGTGGGTATAATTGCCTCACTCAAACTGCTAGCTGCACTTCTTATGAGGCTGGGATATGGCTGACATTTTAGGCTGCAAGGGCACATTACCAGCACATACTCAGTTTTCATCCAGCCATATCCCCAAGACCTTCCTAGCAGGGTTGCTCTCAATCAGTTCATCTATACTGATGTATGGACTGTCCCAGCTCAAATGTAGAACTCGTACTTGGCCTTATTGAATTTGATGCTCATGAGCCTGCTTCTCAAACCTGTCAAGGTTTCTCTGAATGGCATCCCTTCCCACCAGTGCATCAGCACTGCTGCTCAGCTTGGGGTATCATCCACAGACTTGCATGTGTCACAAACAACAGGGCTGTAATTGAGAGGTATAGCTGAGTCAGAACACATAGCTACAAAAATATTTTAGCCATGTCCACTCATCTCAAAACTCTTGATGACCCTCTGTGGTTGGAACGCTCTTTCATGGTATCATTTCTAAAGGACCCACAGACTGGGCACTCTACATGTTTCAAAAAGAGTTCAAATGCAATTGACAGCTTCAATGCTTCCTTCCATTTCTTCCTTCCTCCGCTGTTGTTTTTGATTATCCTGGTGGAATACCTTGTCAGACTTGGACTCTTAGGAAACTGCCAAAAGTCTGGCATCAAAGGAAATTATATTTCATTGTGAATTATAATTGAATGGCTATCGTCTGCATTTTTTTTAACTTTTGACTGGGTTGTTTAGCATTTTTATAAATAGATAAGAGCTATTAAACTCTTTGAAAGCTGTTATGACAGCCAATTCTTCTAGTGCTGTGCTTAGAAAAATTGCTGAAACTGTGAAATAACTACGAAGTTGCTCAAAAAGTAATGCCTCCTATTTTATTATGTTGATCCATGACATCAGAAGCAAATGTTTGTGGGATGGCAGTAGAGGTTGAACCTTCCTGGTAATATTCTTTTACATATTGTTGCCATGCAACAGGTGTCAGCAAAGGGGCTGTCTGAGAAAATGGCATCTGGCATGGATGTACAAAGGTGTGTCATTGAATAACTTCATGCAGAGAAAATGGCACCCAGTGACATTCATTGATGCTTACTGAGTGTTGATGGAGACCAAACAGTGGACATTAGCACATGGCTGGTCTGTTTCAGCAGTAACAATGGGTAACCTCTGCTGGTACAGATTTTTATGAGCCCAGCATGCAGGCTCTTGTTCATTACTGACAAAAATGGTGGTGACTGTGTTGAGAAATTGAGTTTTATAGCTGAGAACGTGCTGTGTTAAATAGTGTTATTGTGCTCTTTTTATCTGTTATAGTTTCCATGGAAACAAACAGAAGGCATTACGTATGGAGCAACCTATGCATCTACATGCCTTAAATTGAGAATTCCTTATTGTATATGTGTTTCTTAATAAGGAACTTACTATATTTTTGTCATAATGGTAAATTGGAAGTAAATATGAAGAATTAGTAAACAATACACTTAGTCTGTTAAAGTAAGCTTTCATCAAATGAAATTTATTAGTTCTAGAGGTACTTATTATTGTATTCTTTTCACATGCTTATATATAATTTCACATTAATAAGAAAATTAATTCCTAGAAACATTGAAGTATTCTATAAATAAATATTACTAACATTAGAGTGTTTTGCAGAATGACCCTTTGTAGATCAAATAGTCATTCCTAAGGTGTTGACCCTGGAATACATATATTCCTGTTTATTCCTTTTGAAAATGTCATTTTCCATCTTGATTTGTATACTCTCCTAAGAATTATATGTTCTTTCTGCTCATTTTACTCTAGCTAATGAAATGAAACGAAATGACAAGATGATGTGTATGTTAGAAGAAAGACAGAAATGCAATATCAGAAACACAAACAAGGCTGTCAGTGACTTTCAGAAGAATTTTCAGCAGCCAGAAACAAGACGTGAATTTGATCTATCTGATCCCCAGGCTCTAAAGAAGGATAGACCGGCTCGGCTTTCAGACAATGATCCTCGATGCACTGTATCTGGCTTGCAGAAGTTTATGGGTGAAGACTTAAACTATGCTCAGAGGACGAAATTTCAAAAGGAGCAGTTAAGAGAGTGGTCTCTTCAGCAACAGAGAGATTACAAGAATGCATTAGCTGATAAAAAATATTTAGGTAACAAGAGAAGATAGGGGAGGTTTTATCTGTTTTCTCTGTAAGTCAGGTGTTTAGGACATAACTTTGGTATAGCCTGTTATGTAAGGTTCTAGCAATATTTTGGTGTATTCAGCTTTTAGAGAAAGAGCAGTTTTTGCTCTACAACTTGTAATGCATTTGATATATAAATGAAGAATTTAGTAACTTAATGATTGTATTATTACCTAGGCTTCATTTCCATTTTACACCTTGTGTGAAGTATCAGAGTGTTCTGAAAAATCATCTATACTTTGCATGACATATATATATATCTATATACACACTTCAGCAGGCCAAATCATCCAGTCTTTACTTTTATAGAGCAAACAAAATAATTCTCAGTTTTCTTTTTCTTAACTTGCTACTAAACATGCTTAGTATTCTTTTTTATTTATTATTATTATTATTTTTAAGTTTGTTTACAACTTGTTTACAACAAGATTGATTACAAAATAAACTGATTTCATGAATCCTCTGAAATTCCAAGATGGAAAGCTTGGGTGACAGGATTGGGAAATAGTTTCCCAAATCAGCTTACTACATCTGTAGCCTCCCCTTTCTCCATATACGTATGACACATAATGTCTATGAAAGTTGACTGCATTTCATTTTAATCTAATTCAGATGATCTTCATGACAAGAATAGGATTGAACTGGACCGAAAGACAATGGAGCAACAACGATTAGAAGAAGAAACTAGACGTGCTGTTTGTGCAGCTATCAAAGACTTTAACAAAAGCCAGGTAAATTCATCTTGTTGGTTTTTGTTTCTGTTAATGAGTGGAGGAGGAGAGGAAATGGAGGGAAAATGAGATGACCAGTGAGCAAAAGTACAATGAGTAGTGATGTTTTCACAGATGTTTGATAGCAGCTACCTTTCAGTGTTGATTCAGAAGATTTTTTCACTTCTTTGTCATCTGCGAGGATCTGGCTATCCTCTATCTAGTTACTTTCTGTGAGAATTCTTCCTTCTGGTTCTCAGCTTGTTGTGGCATGCAGCCACTAATCCCATCTCTCTGGGACTTTTAGTCTGTAAAATGGGGTACAGCAAAAGCCATCAGCACTTCCTTCTGGTTGTTTTTTTGTTTTGTTTTGTTTTTCTGTCATCTGATAATTTTAGCTGCTTCTGCCAGCTTTTCTTTTTCCTTGTGTGGAAAAATTACCAGTAGCTTTTTGTCTTTATCACTTATATTAATGCCCCGAGACCACTGTTTTTAGCACATGTGTATCTGTCTCTAGGTAGTTTTCCAAGTGTGCTTTGGAACTCACTGAAACATGACATGAACTTTTCTCTGTCATTGGTAACCAGACCAATTTCTTTCCTGTGATGATGGTCAAACCCTGGAACAAGATTCCTAGAGAGGTGGTTGATGTCCCAGGCAAGTGTTCAAGGGGCATTCAGACAATGCCAGAAATAACATACTGTAACTTCTAGTTAGCTGTGAAGAGGCCAGGCAGTTAAACTTGATGGTCTTCCATTCCATTCACTTCCACTGCACCTGTCTTTGTACTGCAATCTGTCATGCTCCAATTCTTCATATTGCTGTACAGATTTTCTTACTAAGTTAATCCTGTATATCTTCTATGCACAGCTTAAAGGGCTAGATGGACACCATTCATTTTGTTTAACAATATTTGGTCTGAATTACCTTTTTTTAGTCACAACAAAATAAGGCAGATTCACATTACCTACATAAGGTATGGTATATTTTGATTAAAGTGTGATAGTATGTATGCACATGTTTGAGTAAGTGTTGCCCGAGCCCTTCAAACCACATTGAGCATATGTGTATATGTACACATATCTATATGTGTGTGTGTGTGTATGTCTATATATATACAGCTAGACCAAGATAATTGAAAATGATTTTATTGATTGAAGTCCAGGCTACTAAAGATTATTTTACATCAGTACCTGCAAAAGTACCCCAAATGATACATCTATGTGCACTTTAGTTAACAATAATATCCAAAATAATTGTCGTACAAATTTGTTCTGTGTAAAAGTTCCTGAATTTGTGATGGGGCTTGGGAAATGGGGTGGAGGGGAAGTTTGTGTTTGGTGTAATTTGTTTGTTTGTTTGTTTGTTTTTAATATTTGGCCATGTACATTCTACTTTATTTCTACTCAAATACATATAATATTTCTTTGTTTGTTTGTTTTCTCACAAAAGGGCATAATAATAGAGAAAGAAGCAACAATCTCAGTGTAGTTCATTTTTACTATATTGTACAGATTGCAGTTGTGTCTAAGAGAAAAAGGCTATGCGACGGAGGGATTTTCTATACATCCTTTTTCCTAAGAGAAAACTAGGGCACTCAGCCAGAGAATGAATTTTAGAAAAGGAATTTTTGTTTCTGACTTCAACTTTATCAGTCCAGAGTCCCCAGCAATTTCAAGACTTTGAATAGCTAGTTTAAAGCCTTTTTTCAACTGAAATAAAATATTTGTTTGTCTAAACGTAGAAACACGGTAACTCTGTTTTTAAGCATTCATTGAAGAGTGCTGTGCAAATATCTTTTATCACTCATATCCTATTCTTGGTATGTATGCCTTTCCCAAGCTCATAAGACCATGGGTGGATCACTCTGATCATTTGTGAGCCTCATGGCTTGTGGTAAGGACTTCAGAATACGTGGTGCATCATTTTAGTCCTGTGTTGAGAGCAGTTTAGTTCTATGTACACTCAGAGCTTGGCATTACTCTAAGTGTGTGATGTCCTGACCTTCCATGTACATTTCTTTTGTTTTTTTTTTAATTGAATCAGCAGGATGGAATATACAGTATGAACGTTGGAGCACAAATTAAAATAAATGAAGTAGCATATATTTGTGCAGGTTTGCTTGTTTTGTTCTCATGCTACACTGATGAATTATGTTTTTTTGGGCATTTGACTTGACGGAAAATACATCAGATTTTACCCAGTCTTTATTTCAGTGTCATTAATCATTTTGTAGTGCTACATAATAGCTATGCACAGGGTTGAGATTTTTCTCCAGTAAGATTCCCAGGCAGCTCAGAAGACTGAAAGCTCTCCCTCTTAGTGAGAAGGTTAAGATAACAAGGTATAAGCGCCTATTTTGGATCTGATGCTAAATCACAGTGAAACTGCCTTAATAAAGTGATGTTAGTAAAAATTACACTGTTTAAACTTCAATAATTCTTCATCATTGTTCAGGAATTATTTATGTAAAATCCATCCAAAATGACTTGCTGTTAAATGTGCTTTATTTTGGAGCATTTCCAGAGTTAAAAATAATTGCTGTATTTGTAGTATTAATAAGCTAAAAGTATATACCAAGATATTCTGGTTTGGTGTCCCAGAAATATCGAAATGTTGAAAATCTTTGTGGTTTTTGTTTGGTCTTTTTGTTGGCATTTGTAATCTCTTATGAATCATGTAATGAACAAGGTATTTATTTAATCTTATTTAATTTGAAGCTTGACTAATTTATTGTTAAGAAAAAGAATTCATCTTTTCTTAGTTTGCACATCTAATACTTTTTGTTATTTTTTCTTCTGTTCAGTCTTTAATGGGTCATTGTCTGTGCTTGCCCGTAGCAAATAAAAAACCCTTTGACATTCTCCAGGCCTGATGCTTGGGAGAACTCCTGTCATACAAACCAAAGTACATGAATGCAAGTGTAGAGATAAACCCAGATTAGCTTCTCTGGTGGGATGGATCACCATGCTTGCTAAGTGAAGAATTCTTCTCTGTAACTCTTGCAAAAGACCAGATTCCTACATTTGGGTCTAGATAGGCCTGTCATTCTCAGTTGTTGATATCTTCTAGTTATTCTGCCTTAGAGTTTTCAACTTTTCACATTCAAAGCCAGTAATTTTCAGCAGACAATGAGAATCTTGGAAAAACTGGAAAAATTGGTATCCAGTGGCCTGTTGCAGTCATTATGTATGTGCAAAACTGTATATGCAAGAGACTTGACTCTGATAGCCCATGCTCTTTGTGCCCTAGCAGGGAGGAGATACAATAACATCAAAACAATGCTATTATGCTTATATAATTAACGTCTGCCATTAGATTTTCAGTCTTTTTGACCAGTAGGGCCATGATCATTATATTCACATGTGATGCTGTTGATACTTGTATGCAATTTGAGAATAAATCTATATGTAGGTGCTAACTTTGTTGCATCTCTTTAGTTAATATTTTCTATCAGAAAAGCTATGAGTTCTCTTCTTTTGTTGACTTCAGGCTGCTGAACTAGCTGAGAGAAAGAGGCTAGATAAGCGTCAAAAAATGAAAGATGATATGGATGAAATTTCCAGCCAGCTTCAAGGAGACTTACTTTCTGAAAACCCTGACCAAGCCATCAGTTCCTTTGGTACACATCGTGTGATCACAGATCGGTGGAAGGGAATGAATCAGGATCAGTTGATGGCAATCCGCTCCTTTCAACAGCAACAAGTTCTGGAGAAGCTGGTATTTAAGCATATGTGCATATTCTTGGTTGTAATACTACTATAAACAATATATTTTGAAGAACATATTTTTAAGTTGGCACTGCATATTTAGTTTTGAGACTTTTTCTGATGTTCAGAGCTTCACCAAACGTTAATCATTCAAACTTAACACGGTATCTCTGAAGCACTTGGGAGATGCCAGGAAGGAGCAAAAGCAAACTGGAGTCTTCCTTAGGGTTGGGCTGAAAGGTAGGTTGCTGTGAAGATCAAGGCCAGGGGGCCTTGAGAATCTTGGGGCATGGTCCATGGTTGCCTAGCTGGGGATCAAGGCACTACACAGCCCAAAGGCCAGGCTTCATGGTGCTCAGTTTAGGACTTGAAACAGCATGAACTGCCAGCAAGAGATGTGCAGGAATAGGAGTGGTCTGCTCCACAGGAGAAGAGGAGCCAGGAACTAACAGTTGCAGCAGGACGGACGTGCTGGAGCAGTGTCCTCATGGACACTGGATACCCGAGCAAGACAAAGAGAGCCAATCCAGTGATACTACTCATGCATATTTTACAGACTTAAAAGTTCCTGAATTTCCTTTCTACTTTCCTGCACATTTATGACTCGTGCTCTTAGGTGGGATTGCAATAGAAAGACTAAATATTGCCAGTAATTGATGCTCTACAGGTGGATGGAAGGAGGCAGTCTAAATGAAGAAGTATACCTCCTTTGCAATCAGAAGTGTGTTGGCATAGGTATTATATAGGAAGCTACTTAATTCATTTAGTGCGGGAACTGAATGTGAAAGTGAGAAGGTTTTTGCTGGCTTGTTCTTGATTCGGTTCATGGTGAGATCAGATAAGAAATGCAGTAGAAGTGATAATATAACAGAGATGATAGGGAAAGAAATTATTTGGGTCTGGGAACTTAAAAAAATAAAAAGGTAATCATGCCAATCTATGTATTTTGGAAAGAGCTAGTATGTAGAAAAGAAATAATAGTCTACCAACAGTATTTCTGATAGACAGCAGACCTATATTTCTTACCTTCTTCTTTTGCAAAAGTAGGAGACTCTTCTAGGCAGTGCTCCTTAGAAAAGAGTAGCTTCCTGATCTGAACTATTTTAGTACTGTCTACTGCGTGTGCTCCTACCTTGCTCAGAAGTGTATACTTTTTCTCCCTATTTCGAGTGTTACCCCTAGTGTTCAGTAAAGGATAGCAAGTTTGTTGTTTGGATGAATTTACCTTTATATAGGATTTTATATAGGACTTTATATAGGATTTTTGTCTTTGAGTAAAGAAAAAATGAAGCTTTTTTTTTTCCCCTCTTGTAGAGACTAAAAGAGGAGGAACGCCAAAGAGATGCTGAATGGGACAGGCAAAGTATGCAGGCTGCAAGAGCACAGTTAATTTTAGAACGGCATCAAGCACGACAGAATCGGGAATGCCGCCAAGCTCTAGATAGCATAAATGCACAACTGTCCCAGGAGCAGAAATCAAAGTAAGTGCCAAGAGAGATTTCTTCTTTTCAGAAAAACTCTTTGCCGTTGATACAATTGCTTGGCTTTCAAAGAACTTCTCTGCTTGTATTGTTTGTTTCTTTTCTAACAAATTTATTGTAAAATTATACTTTTTTTAAAAATTAGCATTTTAGATTAAGAATACTTTTCACTGCCGTTGAAAACACCTTCAAAGAGTGGATTGTGATGTTTATTGATCCACATATATGGAATAGTAGCTGAAATTGTTAGCAGTGTTCCACTGACAACAGACTGCTAAGTTTATGTAGACAGCAAAAGAGCAAATAAATACAGTTAGACAGCAAATCATATTAGCAGGTATGAAACAGAATGTGTTTCTTTCATTTAGCTTCCTTTTCTGAAATAAATAACAGGATAGGTGTCTGCCCACTTCATTAAAAATTTCCAGTTTCTGATAGATCTAAGTGAAGTTGATCACACAAACGGAGCTTTGACACTATGACAAAACTAGCTGATTTTCTAGCTAACCACTGATAGATCTTGGTGTATAGGTGTTGTTTCTAATGTGCTGAGAAAGAGGGAAGATGATACATGACAGGGAAAAAAATCAAGCCGACTGATTCAGTGTTCTAATCTTCCAATCTGATTTTTTTTTCCTTCTCATCATATATCCATCCATACATCTTGCAAAAGAATTCCTAATACCTGGTGCTTTCTTATTATGCAAGCAAAAATTCTGAATTGTGATAATTTAGTTTTTCATTGTGAGGATTTGGAAGGTTACTTTAGGATGAAAAATAAAATTTGCTATATCGAGACATGATATTCATGTTGGAGATACATTTAATTCCATTCATAATAATTCTGAGTTTTATGAGCAATTATGAATGTATACATTACATCTTTCTTAGGTTTCTCTGATAAGTTCTGTGTACTGAGATAACAGTCACTAACTGCATTTTTTGTTTGTTTATTTGTTGCTAGGAACATTTACCTTAAAGAAGAAGAATATTCAAATTGTCCAACAAGTCAGTATTTTGCACAATTTAATACAACCAGTCGATGACATTCCATATGCATCAACCTGAAGTACACAGAAAATTAAAACATTGCAATTTTTAATTGAGCTGTCCCATTTTTTTTTAATGCTGATTATTACTGTTATTTTTCTGTTTAAATTGTGCTGTTTGAACCGTACACTTGAAATAGAGGACTGTCTTTTAGGTTCTGTCTGTGCTGAGAAAAACATGGTAATCATTTTTAAATTGTTTCTAAAATTGCTAGTTGATTTTGTAGTTAGATTGTTTGACCATCGTGTCTCAGGCTTAACTGTAATACTGATGTTATACGAGTCATTAGAAATTAATTTCTAGAATGTGGTCACAATTTAAAATAGAACTCTACTTGTTGCAGCTTGGTCAGAGAGGATGATACCTAAGTAGATCACATGAATCACATGGATTACAAGTAGGAGGCTTATGGAAAGGAAGAACGGTAATGTAGACAGAAAGTTGTGAGTTTTTTGGTTTTTTTGGCTGATTTGATTGTTTTGTTCTTAAATGGAAAAAAAAAAAAAGTAGATAAAGATGATTAGAAAGTATTGCTATTTATCCTGAATTGTAGAAACAAGAATAGGTGTACGTAGATTGCTCTGAAAGTGACAACTATTTATTTCCACGAGAAGTACAACAGATACAAAGAGCACGATAACACTCTTTTGAGAGAGCACATTCTCAGCTACAAAACACTATTTTTCAACATAGCCACCCCATTAGCTATGCATTTTCGTTAGCAATGAACAAGAGCACCAACAGAGGTGACCCACTGTTTCACAGCTGCTATGATGGCATCATTGCTAGGAAAATGTTGTCCATGCATCTTTCACTGGCCCAAACAGATGGAAGTCAGAAGGCAGCAAATCTGGGCTATTTGGTAGGTGTGGAAGGATAGTCCAGCAAAGACTGGCAGTGTGCTCCACAGTCTTCAAACTGGTATTGGGCCAGGGGTTACCATGTTGCAAGAGAAAGATTGTCGTCTTCTCTGGTCTGATTCTGGAAGTTCAAGCCTTTAATCTAGGCAGTATTGTGATGTAGCAGTCAAAGGTGATGATTTGTCCAGTTTCTAGGAAATCCAGGAGAATCATTTCTTTCCTATCCCAGCAGACCATGCACATCACTTTACCCATTGAGAACTGCATCTTCTTCTTCTTATATGTGGAATTGACATGTATACCACCTCTCCGGTTTGCCATTTTGGTTCTGGCTTGTAGTGGTGACACTACATCTCATCACCAGTAATGATATTTGCACAGTTTGCGTGGATGAGCTGATTGAGACACTCTTCATTTCAAGGTGTGACAGCTGAGCATGGCCATCTAGAATGTGGCTTGTCTTTCATGCTGCTGTTGCCACTGCCAAAATGCACCACCCATACCCACGCTGTGCTCACAGCCACTCACAATTTCTGCATGGAGGAATTCAATAACAGATCTTTGTTTCATACGTACTTCCCTGTTGGATGTTAATTTGTCAGATGGCCCCTCTGCTGCCATCTGTTGCACAGCAACAAAATGTAATGGAATATTGGTGGGAAGGTTCTTTACTGCCTTGACTGCCAAACCATCACCATTTGCTTTGGATGTAATGGGCCAGCATAATAGAACGGGAAGCTTAACTTCTGGAGCAGCCCTTGTATATATTTACTGAGGCAATTATAGCAGTCAAGCATGATACAGAAATTGAATGTATGTTATAGTAAGCGGGCAAAAGAATGGAAGAAAATATTCCTACATGCACCATCACTCATTAGAAATAATGGAAAAAACTTCAAGAGAGCGTACTTCTAAAAAAGAGTATAGACATAGCTTAAAGATGTGATGAAAGCAGGGAGAAACAGACAGGCCCCATATAAAACCAAGGAGAAAAATCTCAGTGTGTTGCAGGGTAATAGTTAACTGTTTTCCATCCCTATGATTAAGAATTGACTTAGCAATTGAAGAGGCAGTCAGGGGTAATTTAAAAATGGGGAACATAAACACATGGGGAAAAAAATATGTAGAAGCTAGGTAAGTGGCTACGTAAGATGGATATGGAGATAACGAAAAATGGAATCTACTAGGGAAAGAGATTACATGCAAAGGACTGGAAAGAGAGAAGATTTAAAAGATCTAAAACAGGAGTGATGTGTATCTGAATATTTGTTCATATTCAATTCTAAGATCTCTAAAAGATGGCACACTAAGTAAAAATAGGCTCTTTATGAGATTAAGTGTGGTTTGCCCTAGGTTCTATGATGTGAACTTGCAGTAAAAGCATCCTAATGATGTTGACGTGGAGTTCCACTGATGTCTGTAATGAGATAAGTGATAATTGAATTCTGGTGAAACAGGTTGAAGATGATTTCCACCAAGCTAACTAGGAAAAATGTTAAACTAAAACAGAGATAAATTCAAGTGAACTATTCTCATCTTGGTGAAAATAACGAAGAATACACAGGTCTCAAGGTAGATGTTATTAGATGGATTTTGAGGTGTTCAAAGGAAACATTCCTTGAAAGGGGCTCAGACTGGTCAGTTTTTCTCTGCTGAAGTCATGATCTCATGGGATCAGGCTGACATGATAATGTACCGTATTGAACCAGGTAGTAACAAGAACAGTTTGGTAAAGTCAGTAGCATTTAATACTTCTGGATAGGAAAGTAAAGGAAAATCAACTAATTACAACATGACAATGGGAACTGAATAACCCACAGCAAGAATAAAGTCCCTGTGTTAACGTATTAAAACTGCAGCTACTCAATTACAATATAGGTAGAAACCAGCTGGGAAAGGAGTGTGGCTGGGAAACTGAACTGAAAAATGTGCCATTCGGAAAAGTTGTCAGACTGGGATTCAGACATGGCTTATCTTTGTATTATTGTGATGTACTATATTGTATTAAAATGTCAGTCTAGGGAGTTCATCTAGTTGCCTTAAAATAAAAAGGCCATCAACTGAAGTGGGAGGACAGAAAAATAGGCTTTATTTAGCTGAAGTTATTCTTTATCTGTATCGACTATTTCAGGCTCTGACTCTTTTATTTTTCTTTTCTCTCTCTTTTTTTTTTTTTTAATTATATTTTAGTTACTTGACAGAAAACCGAATAAAGAAAGTGTTGAAAAAGTTCATGGTGTTGACTTCATTTTTTCATTCTGTGTGAGTAGGTATCTACAGCTTTTACAGTAGCAGTACAGTTTAAATAAAATGTGCTGGACCTAGTGAGGTGATATTTAAGTTTCCTTAAGGAAGGAATATACGATCAAATCCTTTTTGTGTTTATATGCTTAATTTCTTGAAAACATTGATATGAAGATAGAAAAAGGATAGACTTCTCAGTTACCCTATGATAGAAATTCAAGTAAGAGGACTCTGGCCATCTTTACTATTTTTTAAATCATTTTTTAACTTTTAAAAACACTATAAACACTTGGAGGTATGCTGTTCAGTCATGGCATGAACTAGTGATTGAGCACCTTGTGAAGGGCTGTGGCTGGCCTAGGGAGCACAGGCAAGTTTTTGTACCTGTCTTCTCCACAAGACTAGAAGGGGTGAACCCAAGGTAGAGCCTTGGGCTCATAAATGGGCCAGCTATTGTAGGGAGAGCCTGTCTTGGTCCTAGGCTCTTTCCTGAAGTGGAATGCTGTGTACTCAGAGACCACTAGTTGGGCAAGTTCTAACTCCTCTTTCTTTATATGACTATTGGCCTACCTGTGAATACTTTGCCTCGTATTGCCGTGAGCCTGTCAGAAGCAATTCTGCTTCTTTGTGAGCAGAACGATTATGTGAGATGTTCCTAATGCTGTACATTATATGTAAGTATTGTCCTTATGATTAATCTATTTAATTAGATACTAGTACTACAAAATTGGTGACGTTTATATAGCCTTCATGGAGTATCTCTGAAATAATTCGGGTATGGAATATTTGTTAGGACGCGATGTTGGGGGGAAAACAGTGATCAATTCCTAACAGTTTCTGTGTGTATTAACACAGCCCTGGGGAGCACAGTGAACCAGGAGCGTGGCAAACAGGACATGGCATGTCAGATGGGCACGGTGCAGGCAGTTTCTCCCTGGGGGAAGGCAAGCAGGGGGAATGTGGAGTATTCGTCCCTACTCAGGAGACTGGCTCACCTACCAGCTGCCTCCCAGCCAACAAATCTGGCTGTGGTCTCCACAAGGCAGAAAGCTCCTGACAAAAAGAACATGGTGACTCAGATGGAGTGCCCGCCAAAAAAATGTGTGGTTCAGGGAGTGCCTGAGCCTGTTGTTGCCAGTGGAGGGCAGCAGGGATATAATTTGTGTGAGGTGTGAGCAAGTGGATGATGTGCTCAGTAACATGGCGGAGCTTGAGGAGGCAGAGAGGTTAACGATCGTCAGGGAGTGTGAGGAGATAGACTGGTGGAGTGACTCCCTGCCATACCTGCAAGCCAGGCACTGGGGTGAGATCCCTCCAAACAGTGGTAGATGCCCTGCTCTGCCACCATTGGGCAGAGGAAAGGGATTTATGAGATGAGGAGGGGTGGAAACAGGTTCCAGCTCAGCATTGCAGGCCAATCCTGTCCCTATCTATCTCAATTCCCAAGTACCTCTACATACTAGGTTTGAAGCTCTGGAACTCAAGGGAGATGTGAGGATGCAATGGAAGGTCCATAGGTGAGCAGTTCCATACAGTGAGGCAGTTGACTCCACACCTCAAGATTGCTCCCACTGAGAAGGAAAGAATTGTCATAGGTGACTCCCTTCTAAGGAACAGAGGGCTCCATATGTTGGCCAGACCCTACCTGTAGGGAAGTGTGCTACCTCCCTGGGGCCTGGGTCAGGGGCATTAGTAGGAGGCCACTCATTTTTGGCAGTCTATTACCGTCCATTTTATTACACTGTTCTGTAGACTTTGTAACTGGCATAGCGGTTTGAGACATCTTCCATTATGTTCCATATAAGAAAGTATTCTAATTCAGAAATATCACTGCTGTCCTGCACTATTCTCACAATAAAATCTTTTAATGTTTTTGCAGTGACCTTACTTTTTCTAACTGCTGCTTGTATAAATTTCATTTATCGGCTTCTCTTTCAGGTTTCCTGCCACTGAGGCATTCAGAAATGAATCTATTATAAATGTCATGTGTTTATTGCAAAGATCCTTGAATTCCTTTTGTCTCTGTTGTTAAATTTTTACATTTAACTTCCAGAGATTTGTTTATTTTTCCCACAGCATCTGATACTGATCCCTGAAGGCATCCTTGAAAAAGTTTCCCAATGATGCTTGGTGAAACATTGTTCTCTAAGATTTTGATGGTAGTTAAATTTGCATAATTTATTTTTCACTAATTTTATTAACTAGGAATTTTCATGATCTTTAGCAAAAGAATTTGAAAGGTCATGTTATTAAAAATATTTTTTCATTGGTTTCATTTTTTATGTATGCGAGAGAGACAACATAAATAAAACAAAGAAACCCTCTTAAACTGTCTACTGACATGAGGATATCTTCAGCCAAGCATACAGAAATTTTCCAGTTTTATCTGCTAACTGAAAGTT